CCTCTCCAAAAAAAAAAAAAACTGCATCTGGTCATGTGAAAGTCCAGCGCCTCAACCACCATGCCACCTGCATGAGTAATCCATGTCCAGTTTTTTAAAAAGAATTATTTTATTTAATTTTATTATTTTAATTTGACCAGAGAGGGATACAGAGAGAGGGAAAGTGAGGAAGAAGCCGCCAGGTCCAGGACTCAAACCACCATCAGCCATGTGGGAGTCCAGAGCCCTTAACCAGGGGGTTAAGGGCTGAGGGTGGTAGGGAGGGAATGGAGGGGGAAAATACATAAGAAACAAGAAGTGGGAAATGACTTGTCAGTAACATGGGTGCTAATACCCCCTGACTGAGCCAGTAGACAGTGTACCCTACCACCCTCCGCCACGTCCCACCCTCCCTCACTGTCTCTGGTATCCACAAGTGCCCTTGTGTCGGAAAGGATGTCTCACTAAACGCGATGCCGACCCAGCATGGGGGGCGTCCGAGGAGGATGTTCCCGGACCCCCAGTGCACGCCGAAACCGCGGCCCCCCACGCTGACAGCCACGGTGAAGAGCAGCTACTAAAGTAGCACTGAGCGAGACCGCCCATCGCCACCGGCCGCGAGAGCGGTGACCAAGGTGCGCTGCGCACACCTTCTGTGACTTCTCCCAGTCTCTCCACGCAGCCTGCAGAGCCCTGCCCTCCTCTCTTCAGAGGGCGGTGTGCAGAGTCAGCCCAACTCTGGAGAGTGAAGCTGCAGGTACGAGAGGGCTGCTACAGTTCTGTTTTAAAAAGTATTTATTTAATTTGATTCATTCATTCATTTATTTCAACTTGACCAGAGAGAGAGAGAGAGAGAGAGAGAGAGAAAGCTAGCCACCAGTCTCGGGACTCGAACCATGGTTGGCCATGTGAGAGTATCCAATGCTTTAACCACTACACCACCTGCTGGTCCCAGGGCTGCCATAGTTCTAAACGGATCTAAAACTCAATGAACATACAGTCCGGAGAGCCCGTTTCGACACGGAGTCAAGGCTCCCCCACTGACCCTTGCCTCGCAGTCTCAGCTGCCAGCTTGCTGATTAAGAGCAGCTTCCCGCCTGCAGGAGTGAGCGGTGCTCCACCTTTCCTTCCTGAAAGGGGAGGGAGAGCCCGATGGCTTCTGGTTCCGTGAGCACCCTGACTCCTAGCCCCTCTGGCTGTGGAGTACAGTCT